TTTTTTTTAAACTTCTTTTTGTGGAGACGGGGTCTCCTTATGTTACCCAGTCTGGTCCCTAAGTCCTGGGCTCAAACAATCCTCCTGCTTTGGCCTCCGAAAGTGCTGAGATTACAGGTGGGAGCCACTGTGCCCAGCCCCCCTTGACTCTGAAGCTTTCTTCCAACTCACCAGGATGAGCCCCAAGAACCTCAAGAAGCCAACAAGGTGCCCCTAGAAGACACAGAGACAGATGAACTTTGGGCATCTTTGGAGGCAGCTGCCAAGCGGAAGCTCTCGGATTTGGAGCAGACCCAAGGAGCTCTCCAAACCAGACGGAGAAAGAAGAAGCGGCCTGGGTCCACCAGCCCCTAACGCCTCTGTGCCCAGTTTGTAAATAAACAGCTAAACACCCACTATGACCCTGAGCCTTTTGTGATGGGAGAAAGGAATGAGGGGTAGCTTGGGGTGGGGGCTCCCTGAGCTGGGGCGATGGGATATCTGACGTCACAAAGCCAGGCCTGGAGCCAGGCAGGCTGTCGTGGGTGGCACGGAGTCCGGGGCCGCGCGGTGCCATGGGCTGCTGCCAAGACAAGGACTTTCAGATGTCTGATGAGCAGGAAGAAGGGTCCGCGGACCTCGGGGAAGATGAGGCCACATATAAACGAAGAGGGCCCAGGGAGCGGGAGAGGCGGCTTCCTGAGGGTAGGACTGAGCTCAGAGGCCTCGTCGTCCCCTCAGGCGCCGAAAATACCGACTCCCCAGACCACCGGAATCACAAGTCGAACGAAAGCCTTCTGATCACTGTGCTGTGGCGGCGGCTATCCATGTTCAGTCGTCGGGGCTCGCGGTCAAGCAAGAGGCAATCAGACGTGGTTCGGAAGAAGGAGACTCCGATTCGAGAAGGCAACCAGGCGGAGCCGGAGAAGGGATGACTCCAGACCCGCTCTTGGTCCGCTCGAATGTCCAGAGAATAAAATTTCTAACGTGGACCTGCAAGACCATTCTGGGGACTGGGCGCGGACACCACCTGGCGGCTGGCTCTTTAAGGCTGCTCCCCGGAGGCGGGCCCAGCCCCCTGGGCTCCGGCTGTTGTCTTCAGGGGCGGGGTCATGGTGGTATCTTAGCCAATGGGGTGGTGGGGTTGCTCTTGCGTTTGGTGAGGGGCGTGTCTCTCGGACAGGGCTCGAAAACGTGTGGGACCGCCCCCTCGTCACCGGGGGTGGGGCTACGTGTGGGTGACGTGGCCGCTTCCAGTCTTTGGTCGGGTTTCGGCGGCTTAGGTTCCCAGGGAGGAGGCGGTGACGTCCGGGGAGATTGGCAGTGGCGGCGGTGGCAGGCGGCAGAGGGGAGGTAAGATTCGCTCTAAGAGGGCGTCTGGACGCCGTGTCAGCTCCGGGGCAGTGGTTTTATGGGGGCGACGACTGGCGGGGGGAAGGGAACTAGGGGCGAGCGGGCAAGTCCTGCCGGCCCGGCTCCCGGTGAGCGAATTCCTTGCCGTCCAATCAGGAAAGCCTCTGTTGAAAGAGACGTCGGCCTTAGCTAATGAGTGGTTGAAGTCTTCCAGAAGGCGGACCTTGGGCGGGGGGGTGGGACTTCCTGTTTCAAATAAACACCCGCAGGTTCCCCCTCCGCCCACCGAAGTGTGTCCCTCCCTGGAGGTCCGTCACCCGCTCTCCCTGGCTGAAGGAAACCGCAGATACAAAAGGGCTGGGTAGGGCCCGAGGCAGTTACACGGGCCAGGCCGGAGTCTCAGGGCCACAGGACTTGGCTCAGGCCCTGTCTCTGCTTTAGGGCCCTCGGCCCGCGTTTTGGCCGGGAGAGCAAAGTTGGAAGAAGAGTCTGAGGAGGGTTCGACTTGGGCCAGGGGAAAATCAGGGCCCTTTCCGCTGCGGGCCTGTTCCAGGATCTGCAGGCGCCTTGGGCGCGAAAGTCTTTAAAACGTGCAGAAGGGGCTCGAGGATTTGTTGACTGGGGCGGGGCGGGGGAGTTTGGGAAAAGAAGCTGCCTGGGGAATGACACTCTCCCCTCCACAACAGTGCGAGGTTATGCGTCTCAATGATCCCGCGGAAACGCTACGGGTCTAAGAACACGGATCAGGGTGTCTACCTGGGTCTCTCAAAGACACAGGTCCTGTCCCCTGCAACTGCTGGCAGTAGCAGCAGCGACATCGCCCCTCTGCCCCCCCCAGTGGCCCTCATCCCTCCCCCTCCCGACACCATGTCCTGCCGGGATCGGACCCAGGAGTTTCTGTCTGCCTGCAAGTCGCTGCAGAGCCGTCAGGTAAGGACCTGGAGTGGAAAAGGCGAGGAGTGACTCTTATTCAAATCTAGGAAGAACTGTGCTCCTGTTAACTGAAGTAATTCTTGGGGAAACCTGATGGAACTGATAGGCTTGGATGGGGCTGGTAGGGTCTGCTATAAGCCACAGAGAAGAGGTCGGCTGGCTAATTAGAGGCAAGGACTTAGACATTTTTTTTTTTTTTTTTAGACGGAGTTTCACTCTTGCTACCCAGGCTGGAGTGCAATGGTGCGATCTCGGCTCACCGCAACCTCCGCCTCCCGGGTTCAGGCAATTCTCCTGCCTCAGCCTCCTGAGTAGCTGGGATTACAGGCACGCACCACCATGCCCAGCTAATTTTTTTGTATTTTTAGTAGAGACGGGGTTTCACCATGTTGACCAGGATGGTCTCGATCTCTTGACCTCGTGATCCACCCGCCTCGGCCTCCCAAAGTGCTGGGATTACAGGCTTGAGCCACCGCGCCCGGCCACTTAGACATTTTTTAATGAGGAATCCCCTGGAGTGCAGGATTGCTATGCTGGAGGGAGTACTTCAGGGCCAGACTTGGCTGCAGTATAATTGGTGTGAATAAGGAACAACTTCTAGGAAGAGCCTTTAGCTGAGAGACATGCACCTTGAATTTTCCAGTATACGTCTACCATAAGTTTGCTCTGTGACCATGAGAAAATTAGTTAATCTAGTTATGTCTTAGTTTTTAATCTCTGTAAGATGAAGGACATTTTTCTAGATCAGTAATTTGTTGTTTTGTTTCTGTTTTGTTTTGAGATCTAATTTCAGCTCTGTCAACAGGCTGGAGTGTAGTGGCGTGATCATAGCTCACTGCACATTTGAACTCCTGTACTCAAGGGATCCTCTTACCTCAGCCTCCTGAGCGGCTGGAACTACATGGATGTACCACACAACTAATTTTTAAATTTTTTTCCTATAGCCAGTATCTCACTATGTTGCCCAGGTTGGTCTGGGCACCACACCTGGCCTAGATCAGTAATTTGTATCAAAATCAATGGGTTGGATGCGGTGGCTCATACCTGTAATTCCAGCACTTTGAGAGGCCTAGGCCAGAGGATCGCTTGAGGCAGGAGTTAGAGAGCAGCCTGGGCAACAAAGCAAGACCCTGTCTCTACAAAAAAAAAAAAAACTGAATATGGTGGCATGTGTCTGTAGTCCCAGCTACTTAGAAGGCTGAACAAGGCCCTGTGTCTCTCTTTTTTTTTTAAGATGGGGTTTCACCATGATGGTCAGGCTGGTCTTGAACTCCTGACCTCAGGTGATCCACTGACCTCAGCCTCCCGAAGTGCTAAGATTACAGGCGTGAGCCACTGCGCCTGGCCTTCTTTTTTTTTTTTTTTTTTGAGAAGGATTTTCGCTCTTGTTGCCCAGGCTAGAGTGCAGTGGCACAATCTCAGCTCACTGTAACCTCCTCCTTCTGGGTTCAAGCAGTTCTCCTGCCTCAGCAGCCCAAGTGGCTAGGATTACAGGTTCCCACTAAAATTTTACCACCCCCAGCTAATTTTTGTATTTTTAGTAGAAACAGGGTTTCACCATGTTGGTCAGGCTGGTCCTGAACTCTTTATCTCAGATGATCCTCCCACCGCAGCCTCCCAAAGTGCTTCAATTACAGCCATGAGCCACCACACCAGGACGCTCCCTCTCTTTT